TTGGTCAGTTTTGTTACTGAACTCTGTCTGATGGCAGACTTGATGAATTTGTATGTATTCTCTTGAGATAGATGGATGATTTTCAGAGCCTGTAGTTGTAGAAGGAGTAGCTGTGTCAGTCTGTGCAAGCATTATAGGTAAAAGCAAAGTAGAAATAAAAAGTTTTTAAAAGCCTAAACCCAGTGGCACCTTAAAGACTAACTTTTTTATTGTTTAATGTGAGCTTTCGTGGACAAGTCCACTTCGTCAGACTTGAGAGAAAGAGATTTAACATGGTGAATATACATGGCATCAAAATATAGATACGAATATCAAATACAGAGGTTGTGGCTGGTTGGTAAGAAAGGCGGTGGGTGTCTAACACTGTGGTGATAGCATCTTTAATATGCACATTTTCCATCAAAGCTTGTGCTGTAAAGAATGTGAGAACCTCTGTCACAAAATAACAACGGTAGAATAAATGAATATTAATTAGATTAGCTATTTATAATCATTGATGAACTTTTCTCCTATAAGCTTTCATTTGTAATCAGTTGCAATAGTGTGTGAATTTATTTCAGAGCTTGGAAATACTGGCTTCAGTCATGTTAAATGTAGGTGTGTTTGCATATCTTGACATTGCATAGGGAGTAGTGCTCCTCGCACCAAGTGGGAAGTGGTGTTCAGAAAGCGCTCATTCAGGCACATTGTGCAATGGGTCCAAATTGCTCAATTCAATGTACTAAGTGGAATGCCTAGCACATTTACACAGGTGTAACGTTATACTGCACATAGACAAACAGGATTCTGACTACTATGTTTTTGGATTAGAAGTCCCAAAACGCCCCAGTCAGCCTACTCAGTACAAAAAAGGATTTTCTTCCAAGTTCTGAAAGAAAGTCTACCCTAAACCTCACAGATCAACTTCCCCATTGACATTGGACTGATTATTTCAGCAGAAAAATAAAGAAAAACTCTGTTTTCTTATTCTTCTCTTTTTGATTCCTTGGGAAAGCTTTGCTAGGCCAGGTGCTGCCTAGTAAGTCATGTGTTTCCTACCCTTCTCCTCTATGAATTTGTACAGCAGAGATTGGACTGTGCTGCTAGCACATTGTATACCTACAAATGATCAACTCCAGAGCTGCACTTGGAGTTCTTGTGAGCAAGATCTTGTGAATATAGTGAGGAAACAGGAACGTTTTTCATGGGATTGGTGAAAGAGACAATAGAGTACGAGGGCATGTCCATTGACTTGAGGTGCATTCTTTGTCTGAACTGTTTGAAGGTTTGTTCATATGTTTGTGGCTCTGTGTTTAATTGCTGCTGTTGCTCCACTGCAAGCACCTGGAACTAGAAGGGAGTGTTGGGAGGAAGTGAGTCACTGAGTTTGTTGGATGAGGATCTGGCAGCTTCCAGTTCTGCAGCTGCATCCAAGTCCCTGTGAGGTCCGAGTAGCAGCTTCTGGGCAGATTGAGTGTTTCATGGGGGACATTGAAGAGCAGTCAAGGAGTATTGTTTCAGCGAGTAGCAGCTTCTGGGCAGATTGAGTGTTTTATGTGAGTGTTTCATGGGGGACAATGAAGAGCAGTCAAGGAGTATTGTTTCAGCACCTGCATAGAGCAAAAGAGGAGGACAAGAAAGGACATTTTGGCATGTTTTGTCCTCAACATCTCCTGCCTAAAGATGGAAAAAAATCTACACCTTCAGAAAGGGCATTGCTAGAAAAGAAAGTACAGGAGTTTGAGGCCCTCTTGTACACAATTTGGCTTGTGAATTAAAATTAGGTGTTTCTGAATAGTGCTGAGCAGACCTTCCTAGAAGGGGAGTTGCTTCGAGGGAATGGCTCTAAGGAAGAAAAAGAATACCAAGTGTAGGAGACAAGTTTTCTGAGGACTATGATACGGAGAACCAAGATGGCCAGAAGGCATACTTAATTTTTGGAGATACAGAATTGATATCAGAATTTCCTCATGGGCATTAATTCTGAGCTGCTGGAACAGGAACAGCAAAAAGGCAGAGAGCACAGAATTGGCCGTGAAGGATTCTGCAGATGCAAAGATTCCCATGACTTCCCAGAGGTTGAGACATGTGATGGTGAGTCCCTCCTGAATGGGACAGAGGCAACTGATGGGACATCTTAGGAGGAGTGCTGTCACATCTGAAGACTCAGGATGTAACAGAGAGCTTGCCAAGACTCAGCAATGCCTTACCATTATTACTCCTTCCTCCTGACCCACGAGGGAATCAATGATACTGCCAGACACATCCTTCTATCTATTGCAAATGACTATAAAACTCTCAATAGGAAGGTGAAGGACTTTGGGTTACAAGTCCCCCCCCCGCCCATCGTTCCTTCCTGTCAAAGGTCATGGCAAGTATACAGGAAATGAACAACTGGATGAATGAATGAATGGTGTCAGTGGGAAAGTTTTGGATTCTTATACGTGATCTGCATTTCCATGAAGAAAAAGTCCTGCCAAGTGATGGGTTGCACCTTGATGGCCTGTTTTGCCCTTGGCCAATTGAAATGGGAATTGGAAAGAAAGTGTTTTGTGGGAATCTTATAAACTTGGTTAGGAAGGATTTAATCCCGCAAGGGGGAAAGAGAATATTCTCAAGCACTAGAGCTTAGCATGAAGGGGGTACGTGGTATCCATCTGTTCTCTATGAATTCTGTCTTTGAGAATTCTTAGAGAACAGGTGAGGCTATGAAGACTGAATTTGGGTAAATGTCCCCATTTTTAAAAGAGTGAAGAAAAACGATTTAGGCACTTACCCACTAGCCAGTTTGACATTGATACCAGAAAAGATTGTAGAATAGACCGTTAAATAGTCTGTGAGCATTTAGAAAAGAATGCAGTGGTTACTAAGATCCAGCGCGGGTTTCCCAGAACAAGTCATGTCATATTAATCTTACCCCCCTGTTTTTAACAGAATCACAAGCTTGGCCAATGAAAGGAATGCTATGGATGTTTTGTATGTTGATTTCAGCAAGACTTTTGACAAGGTCCTTCACAGTATTTTTGTTGCTAGATGATTCTCCTGTTAGATTTGTAGCTGTTTGATGGACTATATACAAAGAATCCTCACCAACAGTTCATCACCATTCTGGAAAGAAGTGAAAAGTGGGTTGTTGCAGGGTTCTGCTGTCATTCAACATCTTGATAAATAATTTAGAGGTGTGTGTGGAGGGGATGTTCATCAGATTTACAGATGACACAGTACCAAACTGGAAAGGGCAAACAATAGGGGGACAGAATCATAGTTCAAAAATGGCCAAAACAGAACCAGGCAAAAAGAAGCAAAATCAATGTCAACCAAGGGAAAAAGTGAACTTCTGCATGCAAGCAGATACACAAATACAGAACAGATGACAGCTGGATTGGCAGTAGTATGTGTGAAAATAATCTCGGTCTTAGTGGACCAAAAGCGAAACATGAGTTAAATTTATGATGCAGCAGCAGCAACGACAAAGAGCTATTGAATACTTGGTTGCATCAACAGAAGTATGATATGTGATCAAGGATGTAATAATACATGGATAGTGCCACTTTATTCTGCTATGGTCATACCTCATCTGGAACACTGTGTCCAGTTCTGAGCACTACCACTAAAGAAAGATCTCATCAAGCTGGAATACGTCCAGAAGAAGATGTCCAAGATAGTAAGAAGTCTGTAAATGAAGCCCGATGAGGGTAATGGGCATATTTAGCCTTGAAAAGAAAAGGCTGGGATATGATATGAAGCCATCTTTAGATAGTTGAAGAGTTGCCATGTTGAAGATAGATCAAGTTGGTTGTCTGCAGCCCCAAAGCAACAGATTCCAATAGTGACAAAGAAGAACATGAGGGAAAATGTCCCAACAGTAAAAGATGCTTGGAAATGGAAAGTGGTGAACTTTGCTTAAGGTAAAGGTTCCCCTTGACATTTAGTCCGGTCGTGTCTGAGTCTAGGGCGCGGGGCTCATCCCTGTCTCCAAGCCGTAGAGCCAACGTTTGTCCGAAGACAATCTTCCGTGGTCACATGGCCAGTGCGAATTAGACACAGAATGCTGTTACCTTCCCACTGAGGTGGTACCTATTTATCTACTTGCATTTGCATGCTTTCAAACTGCTAGGTTGGCAGGAGCTGGGACAAGCGACGGAAACTCACTTTGTCGTGTGGATTCGATCTTACAACTGCTGGTCTTCTGACCTTGCAGCATAGAGGCTTCTGCAGTTTAACCCGCAGCGCCACCACATCCCTGAACTTTGCTTAACTGCAGGTTATTCAATAGAGATTAGGTGGTCTCCTGATAGGGATGTTTTAGTTCTGGATTTTGTGCTTAACCAGGGAGTTGGAGTTGATTACCCTTAGGGCTCCTTCCAGCTCTACAGTTCTATGATTCTTGTATCATTGGCATGTCTTAAAATTATGTAGTTGCCTCAAGCTATGAATTTGGTTGCCTTTATGGATAGCATATGGGAGATAAAGGACATCTGACCTATAAGTGCCCATTCTACTAGGGAAATGTGTCTTGTGAGTGAAAAGAGCAGGAGTTGTGGGTAAAATGTGTGTCCTATTTTACAGGGAACAGCCCTCTTTTTGAAAGCATGCTCCCTTGAAAGGCCTTTCAGTCCAGGTGTGGTTGAAAATAGACACAATACTAAGAGAAATGGGCAACTTTTATGTTGCTCATTAATAATTAGCAGGAGGAAAGCAGACTAAGCAGGCAGACTTCCTCACTATGAGGAGATGTATCATATTTATATTTAAACTACTATCTTCACTTCTCTTCTAAATTTATACATAGGCGTAGAGATTAACATTTGCCAATGTTACGCAAACTGATGTCTTCAGAGGTTGTGTGCGATCCTTTTTCTTTTTTGGTGGCGGTTTGTGAGAGGTTGCAGCAAAATCACTTCCTGGCCCATAGTTTCCTGCATTAATTAGCAGATAGAGTTCATTTAGATTTATCTCCTTATGCATGAAACTTTCTGGACAAGCCCGTCTCCTTAATCATGATGATTTTTCATTTCCAGGCATTACAGCCGAAGTCTTAGTGGTGACCTCCTTTGATGAACTCCACCAAAAAGCTCAGGAAGCCCAAGGAAAGATTGTTGTTTACAACCAGCATTATGTCAGTTATGGGGAAACAGTGCTATACAGAGTTCGAGGAGCTGTGGAAGCTGCTAAAGTGGGAGCAAAGGCATCTCTTATCAAGTCTATTACTCCACTTTCTATTAATAGGTAAGTATTGTTGTCTGGTGTAAATCACTCTTCAGTTCTTGTGTTACAACATGTGCTGAATAAAGAGGGTGCTTCTTTGTTAGAACAATGTGCTGTTCATGAGGTAGAGGTTGTGAGTTTGATTCTTCATTGAGCCTTACCAGAACGCTGCCCTACTCTTGTTTCCCACCAACCGATATACAGATACATACTGCCTCTGACAGTGGATGTAAAGTAAAGCCATCACCGATGGTTCCCATTCACAGCCATATCCTTCATGAATTTGATTTGATTAATAAACCATTCATGTTGGTGGCTATCGTTATGTTATGCATTGGCAAATTCCATAGCTTCTTGTCCATGTTTATGGAATAGCTTACTTTGTGGATGTACCAAGAATAACATTACGGTAGTGTATCTCTCCCTACCAGGATGCTGAAACTATTTACTTTTGGAAGTTGCTTTGGGGGATTGTGTTCTGAGTCCCCACACTCTCAGCCCCATGACAAAGGTCTGGCAATTACAACGTGATTATCTTCATCAACACTGTGGGAGAGAGAGTTGTTTAAGATAATTTTTTTAGGTGTGCTCCAGCTGTTTCGCTGTGACAACAAAGGAACAACACAAAGGAAAGGACCTATTGCTTATTTTCAGTGCTCAGCATATGAAAATCTGAATCACAACATTTCAGAAATGAGCGCTGTATCTAATATTTATGATACGCAAGTGACTTGTAAAACAAATGAAAACCACTAAGATTCTTTCAGATGGTCTGTCTGCAGTTCTGACTATAAAAATGGGCTTAGCTTCAGACTGTTGGTCCTGATTTTTGACAACCTGGAGGGCCAGGAAAAGGTTCTTGAAAAACAAATTTAGGCTTTTGCTAAAATTGGTGGGGCAAAAGGTGGGGCAAAAGGGGCTTCATGAGTGTGCTCTTTTTAAACATCTTAGCCTTACCTCTGAAATGTTTGTGTAGTCGAGCACCCTTGCACCAACTTCATTTCATCCAGTAGAATGAATGGCCAAAGAATCAGATTTAATGAATTTGAAGAGGTAATTTAGGAAGACTGTGCGAAGGACAGAAACCACAGGCCTGTGTCCGATCTGTATCGCTCATCCTTTGTATTGTATGCGATGCCCCAACAACAGAGACCAAAAGCATCACTGTGCAGAAGAGCGGCTGCCGCAAGTAAGCTAAATGAGTATGGTAATAAGAACGCTGATGCTCAAGACTTGAAAAGTGGACATAACATGTAAACTGTGTAATAGTGACTAATGAGTGCAGATTCCCAGTGTCGTTTAGTGGACAGAGTGACAGACTCAGATTCTAGAGCAAGGGTCCCCAACCTCCCAGTCCATGGCCCAGTGCTTGGCCGTGGCCTGGGACAGACTGGGCTGCGGAGACAGATCTCCCCTCTGCACACACTGCCTCCCCCCCACAGCCCCTTCGTGCATATGTGTGACCACCCCCACCCCTTCATGAGTGCGCACGAGTGCCTCCAGCCCCCCCACCCTTTGCACATGCGCACAAGTGCGTGTGTGTGTGTGCCCCGTCTTCCCCAACTGGTCCATGGAGTTTAACAGGTTGGAGACCACTGCTCTAGAGACCAGGGTTCAAATCCCCACTCAGCCATGGAAACTAACTGGGGAAGTGGAACATGCGCACAAGTGTGGGTGTGGGTGTGCCCCACCTTCCCCAACTGGTCCATGGAGTTTAAAAGGTTGGGGACCACTGCTCTAGAGACCAGGGTTCAAATCCCCACTCAGCCATGGAAACTAACTGGGGAAGTGGAACTGGTAAAACCATTCCTTAAATATTTCACTTACCTTGGAAGCCCTTTTAGGGTTGCTGTATAACTTGTTTCTGACTTGACAGCACAGCACAGAACACACACTCGATGAGTGCAAATGCAAATAAAAAGGAGGCTGGTATGGATGCAAGAAGATGTCATTGTTTAGAGGTGCCTCGTGCATTGGCCATGTTGGTGCCCAATCCCTGATACAAGAAGAACAAGAGGGATGAAAACAAAGGTTAAGTTAAGGCTCTTGGCTTAACTTCTGCACCATGCAAGCCATAAAGACATCCTACAGTATCTTCTGTTGTTCTTGGTTACAACTTAGGCTCCATGCGTCCATACAGAGATTACGTAGGTATATGCCATTTTAATCTCTTGATTTATGAAATAGTTGGTATTGGCACCCTTGGACCAAATAAAAGTAGTCTTTTGCATCCAGTTGGTTATGTGCTAATGTCTAAAAATTAATTGGCATGGCTTCTGATGTTGTATGATGATTTTTAAAACTTCCCTGCTGTGACACATATGCAGGATCTGTGCTTACATAACAAGTACACTGATCCTCTTAAAAGGATATTTGTTCCATACTGCACAGAATGGAAAGAATGTACTTTTTAGGACCAGTTAAGGAAAAGAAACCTAAGCGTTTTGGAAATAAGGAATGCAGAGCTAGGCTGGATTGGCCATGGCTTGCTGTTCAAGTCTGAATGGGTACTGGCAGGTTTTATGATTTCAGTGTAAATAAGTGGAGAGATGACGTGAATGCCAAGGATTCATTTGTTTTGAAGGCATTATGTCTGTAAGCTTGGACTGAAAGTTATGTGCCATTCTCAGATACTGTGTGAACCTCTGAGGCAACTGAAAGAACAATTTTAATACAGAAGTATGTTATTTTTTCAGTCTTCTGAGTATATTTTGAAAAATGTATCCTGGATGACACAAGGGCTTTAATGTCAATGCTGTCACTCCACAGTGACACAGCCATGTCTTGCAAGTGACACAAGGCAATGTCCTCGCCAGCGCAACTTTCCTGCCTTTGGTGCTGCGTCTGAGGCACCTGTTGCGCCTTGCCTTGTCTGTCCGGCTGACAAACAGCATTGAGTAGACTCAGCTGGACACAAAGCCTCTTGTCAGTCAGCAGCAGGAGGCATTGTCAGCTCACATTGCCTTGCTTTTTGAACATTATAATTTTAGGCTGATTGATTGGAAATGTTGATTCCACCTGACACTTTCATTGGATGTATGGAACATCCAGAGGCCTGCTGGGTTACGGAAAGAAAAAGTTAACCACTCACTTCAGAATAAAAATTGAAAGCAGAGCCTGAATTGCTGTATAGGTTTGAAGAGAGTTTGAAGAGGGAGCACGATCTGGAGTGTGCTACAGAAGCCGCCTTGGTTCTTTTTAAGGAGAAAGGTGGGATAAAACTATTTTAAATAAATTAATAAATAAAAATAATAGGAAAAGGTCAGAGTGCGTGCCATGCTTGTTGGGGGCTTCTGGAAATTGTTGTCCAAAAAAGCAACTTTTCCAAGCTCTAGAATGGATCCTAGGGATAAGAACTGAGAATTCAAGCAGGCTTTCCAAGTGCTGGATTTTAACGCGTAAGGAGGGCAAATGTATTTTGCACAGGGAAATCATGGCATCCTTAGAATATAGACCTATTTAGGTCTACTCCTCTCCAAATCTTATGGAAACCACAATACGAAAAAGTTCTTTCAACTACAGTTCCCTGATCTCCCAGTCAGCATGGCCATTGAGGATTCTAAGAATTGTAATTTTAAAAAGGTTTTGCTTCCAAGTTCTGAGCAGCTGAGAAGTTTGTTTACCCATCAGTATTTGGAGCCGAGATAATACAGCTCTGCTCTGCATAAAAGTGGTTGGCTGCCTTGTTTCTAACCATGTTATAAAAGTAAACAACTTCCAACTTCCGTCAGCAGTAAACCGTCCAGAAGATGCCTTCAATCTGATCTAGCTGGGTCATGCTTAGGAACCCACATATTGTTCCCATACTTATTTATTGGATCTCAATCTTGATTCCACACTGAGGTAAAGGAATTTTTGCAGTTGACTTTGAAACACTTTCACATAGTCCTACCAGAGTGCCACAGCAGTTTATAGGAAATTATGCTTGTTAAAAAACATTGAATCTCCTTGTTAAGCAATTCACACTTTCTCCCAGAACCAGCCTTTGGCACCAGCTTGTCAGCATTTCAGAAGACTCCTGAATGATGCCATCTTGGGCCAAAAGTAACAGAAACTTGGCAAAAATAAACCTTCAAAAACAAACATTGACTTAAAAGAATCAATAAACAGAATTTCAAATATTTAGTCTTCCAGAGAACGCATGTTATTGATTTGCCTTGCCTGTTCTGAAGACAGAATGTAACTCTTTGGATGAACTGGAAGCACCAAGAATAAATTGTGAAAATATGAAATTAATCAATTTTGGTGTGATTTTACACTTGCATACTCAAACACCAGCCTTACTAAGTTCACTGGAACTTAACTAAAGTGAGTTTCTGTAGGGCTGCAGCCCAAGTTATGTTTTGTTCATGAAACTGTTATTTTAAAAAAAGGGAGGATAGATGAGTAAAAAAAGATCAGAGTGTTGGACACTTAACCCAAATAGTAACTGTAGAATAAGTAATAGATAACAGATTTAGAGTCAATCTGCATTAGTTTAGATCAGCTTTCCCTAATCTGAGGCCTTCTACCCTGTTTCCCCGAAAATAAGACCTAGATCTGCATTACAGTAGTTTAGATCAGCTTTCCCTAATCTGAGGCCTTCTACCCTGTTTCCCCGAAAATAAGACCTAACCTGAAAATAAGCCCTAGTATGATTTTTCAGGATGCTCAGAATATAAGCCCTACCCCAAAAATAAGCTCTAGTTAAGTGAAACCCCACCATTAAGCCCTCCACCATTGTGCAGCATTGTGCAGCAACCAGAAGATGACATGACTGCAAAATAAAACATCCCCTGAAAATAAGCCCTAATGCGTTTTTGGAGCAAAAATTAATATAAGACACTGTCTTATCTTCGGGAAAACATGGTAGATGTGTTAGATCAGTGGTCCTCAACCTTGGGCCTCCAGATGTTCTAAAACATGGTAGATGTGTTAGATTGCCCTCCTCTCATCCTTGACTTCTGGCTATGTTGAGCGGCACTCATAGAACTTGTAGCTGAAAATTGCTGGAGACATCAGGCTGGCGAAGGCTGACTTAG